TGGTTATCTCTAAAACACAGACCAAAGAGCTTTCAGAAAGTCAGAATTCTTCACCCTGATTATGTACACAATGATTTTACCTTGGAAGAACTTTAGAGCAGCTATAACTATAAATAGTTTTAACCATAAAACTACTTCAGTAAGGATTCAGAGGCTATATACCTTGAAGAAATATAACTTCCTGGTGAACATATGAAATTAAACTAATTATAAACTATAATTAAATGGATTTATAGAGTTTTAAATTATGAACTCATCTAACGTTGGCTAATACTAAAAGAAAATAAGGACTAATTCTAGGATACTCGGTCTCTAGCCTTTTGGAGGAAGGTAATGTGATAGGAAGATGATTTCCCTGTCAAGGACAATCTTGGAGTGTTTGAGTAGAGACACACCATCTCTGCATAAGAGTGCTTATCTTTCTGTTCTTTATAGTGGCATCATGCATTCAGATCAAGGAAAAGTGGCATAAAATCACAAGGGTAAAAATATGAGAGGAGAAGCGGGCATTGCAGATTCCTATTTTGCCCTGGACATTACTAGCTCTAGCTGACACAACAAGAAACCAGTTCACTTCCCCCCACCCTGCCCCTGCCCCAGACTCATTCTTTTTTTTAAAAAAATATATATTTTATTGATTTTTCGCAGAGAGGAAGGGAGAAAGATAGAGAGCTAGAAACATCGATGAGAGAGAAACATCGACTAGCTGCCTCTTGCACACCCCCTACCGGGGATGTGCCTGCAACCAAAGTACATGCCCCTGACCAGAATCGAACCTGGGACCTTTCAGTCCGCAGACCGACGCTCTACCGCTGAGCCAAACCGGTTTCGGCCCAGACTCATTCTTAAGCTAGTTCAATATATATAGATTTTAAATAAGCATATAAAACAAAACAAAGTTTTAAAATGTTTCTATTTGAGTAAATGCAGCTTGACAATTTATTTTGTTTTCAAAGGCAAAGAAAGATGGATAAAAGACAAGAAAAGTATGATATTACTGTGCTCATATCAATGTTTCTCACTCCCTTTCTCCCCCCTTCCCTTCCACTCTCTCTGAAAATCAATGGAAAAGTATCCTTGGGTGAGGATTAACAATAGCAACAAAAGTCCCTTCTCCAGTGAAACCTTTTCTTGGATGTCTCCTTCACCCCCTTTCTTCTTCTCTACCACCTCCCACTCTTCCAGAACTAATTGTCCCATCCTGCCATCCTGTGTGTCCCCGTGGTAGTTTAAGCATTCTTCTGTTGGTGTCTTTAAGACACGATATATTGCCTTTGGTTGTCCACCCTCATCCCCTCCCCCCTGTATCCCTAACTACTTGCCTTGAAGATTAGTTCCTTGAGAACATGGCACGCTTCAATGTGTGCCAGGACTATGATATATATAAAAAAAAATGCAATAAAAGATAGTTTTCACTCTCAAGAGCTAACAGACTAATGAGAGGTAGTCAGCACAATTCTCAATGTGAGTGATGAGTACTGTGGCAGGGGCCTTGACAATATCATGGGAGCACTCGTAGGGACACTACTCAGGAGTGTGGGGACTAGGGGTGATTATTAGAAAGATGCTGCTGAATATTAGAGGATAATAGGAGTTTGGGGACAGTCCAGGGAAAGAACATTCCAGGCAAAGTCACAAAGCCATGAAAGAACATAGGCGATTCAGTGCAGCATCAGCAGTGTGATGCTATAAGGACAAAAAGTTTGCGTAGAAGAGTGATGAGAAACGAGGTTAGGGAGCCGAATAGGGAAAAACTGAGAAGGTCTCCAGGGTCATGCTAGGGAGTTAAGATTCTATTTCCAAAAGCTATTGCAGTGTCTGGCATAGAATATTGACCATCACATTGCTGGTGGTTCTAACGCAGGGATTGCTCACAATCAATACAGAAATCAAAAGGCACGGTCACATAATTGATGTTTGGCATTGCAACTATTGCACTGACATCTTTGCTTTGGGAGAGAAAAATCAATGTTAAAGAACTAGATTTTTCTGCATTTTAAAAATCCAATGTTCAAAGACATAAATAGGACTGGGTAACTGTACATGAAAGGGATGATAAGTAAAATGGGAAAACTTGGAAGTAATACACACTTAACACTCAGGGCTCCTCTGCATTTTTCATATACTAATTACTATTAGCAGAGATCTTAGCTTGAGGTCTGTTAATGAGTCTCTTGGGGTTCTGAAAACATCTTGAAATTTTTGGCAACATTTTGAGCATATGTGCATATGTGCATTTGTTTATTTTCCTAGCAACGTGTGTTACGAATTTTTATCAGCTTCAAAGAAGTTTAAGACCCACCACTGGCTTCTAGCATAGATAACTAGAACAAAAGGACAATCTGAACAAAACAACTTGGTTTAGATATCACATGTGAGATTATTAGTTGCAAAAAATTATTTTGGGTGGAGTGTAGAGTTAGCAAGTGGGCCAATACCCAATGGTCTAATAAACAGTACCGTAAACCCAGCGCCTTATTATAATAACACTTTATATCTTGCTCACCTTGAGGATCCGTGTAGTCAGTGAGGGAGGGTCTTCTATACACAGTCCTTTACCACAAGCAGTTTCCTTCCATGCTGTGGCTTGGCCATCTTCAACATGTCACTTCAAGGGTGCTCTGGCATCATCAAGGTAGCACTCAGGAAAAAAGAGAGGACACACGGGGAAGGCACACACCTCTTAATTGCCTTGACTGGGCTTTGAAATGTCTCTTCTCACATTTCATTCACCAAAACTGATCATATGGTTCCATTTCTAAGTGAAAGGCAGTTGGGGAAATATCTGGGTACACAGAAAGAGAAAATGTACTTGGCGAATATCTAGCTAATCTTGAAACTGTTGGGATTCTTATATGCTGGTCATGGTTTGGGCTAGTTCTAAATGAAAAAGATGGAATGAGACAGGCATCCTTTCTCAAAGACTTTCCTGTGTGTATAAGTTTTTAAAAATGTGTCCTTTCAACCTCAGAAATTCTCTGATTTATCCTCAGAGGTAATCACCAACCCAATAACACAGATGGGATGTAAGATAGAGATTTAAAACTTCTCTTTGAAGAAGATTTCTCCCTATACTCCTTTCTATATTGAAAAGAGCTAACACTTTCAAGGCCTAGCATATTTTATTATTGAATAAGATTCTCTTTCTGCTTTCAGTCTGATAAGCTCCTTTCTAAAGCACTGGTCCAGGAGCTCCTTTACTCAAACTGCAGAATGAGTCAAACCCAGAGAGGAACACAAAGATAAAGTGATGTAGATCCTCTAAGAACCGGAGCATATAAAAAGGCTTCACTTTGAAAGTCATGTTCAAGTGACTACTTTAATCATATAGAAATTTTACTAATTAAACTGCCAATTTAAATGCCAACTCTACTAACTGGATTTTCAGTTGCATTTAATTTTAATTCTGTCTATTCTCTAAAAATATACATCAGAGCTTTTTCATTTTAATTCCACATTTAATTCCACACTTAACTCTCCCACACAGTCAGCTCCTGCAGTAGCAAAAGCAGAAATAAGTGCTTGCTGAAGGTACAGTTTTTTTAAAAAAAAATCCGCCTGGTGAACTGTTTAGATTGAATTCTGCCCAGCAGTGTCTTACCAGACTCCCAAAAAAACCAAGCAGACAGTGCGGTCTGTAAAAATGTCATCGTGGTTCAATTCTGACTTTACATAGTTTATTTCTGACTTTATTGTATTTATTTATGTTTCTTTATCGATTAAGGCATTACAACATGGGTTATTTCTGACTTTAAATAACCTTTTCTCCATTAAAAATAGTCCTACCTCTTCTTCTTGACTGAAAACCAATATTCTGGCTCTGGCTTTATTTACTTAAAAAATGTAGAGTATAAAAAATCTTCTACTTAGCTGTGTGACCTCAGACAAATCACTGTGCATTATGGAGCCACGTTTTTTAAATTTTATTTTATTATTATTTATCTTTAAAATAGGAATAGTCTCGTAGATTTGTTGAAAAGACTTCAAGCCAGAGATGAACAGGAAAATTCTTTGAAATCTTTAAAGAGCTGTAGAATTATAAGCTACCATTATTAATATAACCACTAAAACCCAAAAATGGGTGAAACAATAAGTGTTGCAGAGCTCAGAGGAGAAAGAAAGTGTAACCTGAAGAATCTTACTGAGAGTAAGAGGTGAGAATGGGGAGGCAGGACTTGTGCTGAGTCATGATGAAAGAGAAGGATTTAAAATGTGGAAAGGAAACTTGGGGAGGGGACGGTAAGGGGGGCACTTCCAACAGAATTGTAAGATGTCTTGAGGAAAATGCAAACTTTTAATTGGCAACAGGGAATGGACAACTCAAGCTGGCTGGCTGAAGCAGACTGCTGTCCTGTGTGAATTAAGGAATACAAAGTAGACTAGGCCCTAGCCAGTGTGGCTCAGTGGATAGAGTGACTGCCTGCAGACTGAAGGGTCCTGGGTTCAATTCCGGTCAATTGAGGGTATAAACCTTGTTTGCAGACTCTATCCCCAGCCCTAGTCAGGGTGTGCAAAGGGCAGCCAATCAATGTGTCTCTCTCACATCGATGTTTCTCTCTCCCTATCTCTCCCCTTCCCTTTCATTCTCTTTAAAAATGAAAAATCAATGGAAAAATAATCATTGGGTGAGGATTAACAACAACAACAACAACAACAACAACAAAAAGTAGATTAGGATAGGTGCAGAGAGTCTTTTCATTGACAAGGACTTTGAATCAATTTTTGGTTAGGAAGTGGTGAGATTAGGTTGATATGTTCAGAAGACTTATCTGGAAAGAAAAGAGAGTGACCAAATGCATTAAGGCCAGTTAAAGGGCTGCATGCCAGTCTTGGAGAGAAGAAATAAAAGCCTGAACTATATGAAAGCGCTGGGATAAGAAAGAATAGTATGTGAGAGAAATCGAAAACCTTTCAGTGTCAGTATACCACCACTGCCACCACCAAAATCCACAAAAACTAAGGTACTGCAAGGGAGTTGCAAGGATTGGTAGGACAGATAAGGGAAGCAGTCATGAATGAATCTGGCTTTACGTTTGGTGACTAGGAAAATGACACCATCAACAGGCAAGATGGTACTTTTCTAGGAAAGAGGGATGCTGCCGATAGTGTAGGATACATTGAGTCTGAGGTGAAAGCTGGAGATGCAGGTGAAAAGCTCAGGGTTCCATTGCTTGCCGCTCATTGCTTTGAATGTTAAGCACCTGTAACGCTGGACAGTTGTATCTCTTTTCTTGCATGCACCACCATACTGTCATGCTTTCATGCCTTTTCTCTTGCTTTTATCTCTGATTGGAATACCCTTCCCACTTTTTAAAATTATTTTTTAATCTGATCTCTGTCCTGCTAGTTTTGCCTTTTTCTTAATTTCATGTACACAGAATCATACAGTGTATAGCATTTTGTGTCAGGTTTCCTTACTTAGCATAATGATTTTGAGATTCAGTCATGTGTTGCATGTATGAGTAGTTCATTTCTTTCTATTGCTGAATAGCATTCCTCTGTAGGGATGTGCTATGCTTTGTATTGTTAAGGAACAAAATTCAACTGAGTACATTTGAAGATTTAATTGGCTTTGTTGAGGGATTCATGAATTGTGCAGTAACCTATCTATCTAACAACTAGAAGGCAGTGCTGAGGGGTTGTACAAAATAGAAGGTTTCATAGGAAGAAGAGTAGGGCGAGGGAGCTGTTCATGAAAAAAAAAAAAAAAAGGATTATTTTTAGACCAGGACATCTTTTGGGGGGAAGGGTTTTTATCAGACAGATTGCCTCTTCTTTTAATTGGCAACAGGGAGATGGAGAGATATGACAGACTATCTCATTGGTGTTGACCAGAACATTCCAGACTGGTTGATTAAGATTATGTTTTGGGGAGAGTCTGAAACAGCAATTAGGTCAGGTATTAAATCTAATAATATGCATTCACCAGTTGAAGGACAATTGAATCATTTTTAGTTTTTGGCTATGATGCTTAAAGCTAGTATGAAATTTCATGTACAGTTACATGAACTTATGTTTTAATTTCTCTTGGATAAATACCTACGAGAGAGGTTTCTGGGTCATAATGTAAATATATATACATTTAATGTTAGAAGATATTGCTGAACTGTTTACTCAAATAATGATATTATTTATATTCCCACCAATAATGTATGAGAGCTCCAGTTACTCTGTATCCTCATGAGCAGTGGCTGTTTTGGGTGCCTTCTCTCTCCCTGGGGGAAGCCAGAAGTCCTATGGAGAAGCCTACATGGTAACCAGCCTGTCTCAGCCAACAGCCTGTCTCAGTCAACAGCCAGTCACCTTGTGAATGAGTTCAGAACTGGGTTCTCTGCCTACCTGAGCCTTAAGATGATAGCAGCCCCATCTGATCATAGCCTGGCTGCTATCTCATGAGAGATCTTAATTCAGAACCACTGAGTTGAGATATGTCCACATTTCTGCCCTCAGCAACTATGTGAGATAATATTTATTGTTTCAAGCTGCTAAGTGTGGGGTAATTGGTTGCACAGCAATAGATAGCGCACTGAACTAAAACACTAGCATGAAGCTCAAGGGAGCTGCCAGGTCCGGAACAGATTTCACATGAAACTATGAGAGAGGATGAGTTTTGCATACTTTGTGCTTGAGGCCAGAGCTTCCAACCCTATTTCTGGGACCAGATCCAGAATACCTCTATCTCAAAGAATATAAATGATGAAACAAAATTAATTTTAAAAGCACAGTGTTTGAGGCATGGGGAGATAAGGCCACGTATTCAATTAATGATTGATATCTCAATTCTCTGAACTTTAGGAGTCAACTTCCACTTCCACACTGGTTTCTGTCTGTCTTTTTTTTTTTTTTTTTTTTTTATCAACAACGCCTATGCTATATTTATGGTGTTCTATTCCTTTGGCAATTTTCAGGTATATGCAAATTCTCTTCCTTTTCTCCGCCTCATCTCTTCTTCCTGGAACCCAGTTTAAATGTTTCACAGAGTGACCCAAGTGAAAGCAACTCCATGGAATCTGATGAGGCATTGAGGTAACTGAAGTGGAAGAAACCTTTACTTGCTATCCCCATTTACCACCCCCCTCCAAATCTCAGAGAGTACATTTACCCTGGAGATGTGAGTGTGGGGAATGTATGGGTCTAGAGAAGGCTTGGTGGGTCATGGCTGATTTATACAGCCTTGTACATGTGTTCTTTTTTTCCCTTATACATATTTTTCAGTGACTAGAAGCTAAGATTTTAGGCTGGACAACTGGCACTACTGGCTCCTTCTTCTTGTAGGAACTATGGTATTCCTGTGGCCTACACCAAAAGCATCACCCAAAGGAAAGCTTCTTTACTTGATAAAATGGGTCTGATTCCCTCCTTCTAAGTTCTCCACTGTCTCTGAAGTGACACATGGTCTTTCATACAAATAAGAGGGAAACTATGCAGAGCTTTCTGAATGTAGCACCCTTACCTCTCATGGCAAAATAGCTATGTTCTTTAGGCAAACCCATATGATATCTAAATCCTGCGAAATCAGGGTAGAAAGGTCTTTCTGGCTTCATCTCTATTCCCCTCCCATACTGCACTATAAAGATAACTGAGCTGAAACCGGTTTGGCTCAGTGGATAGAGCATTGGCCTACGGACTGAAAGGTCCCAGGTTCGATTCCAGTCAAGGGCATGTACCTTGGTTGTGGGCACATCTCCAGTAGGGGGTGTGCAAGAGGCAGCTGATCGATGATTCCCTCTCATGGATGTTTCTAACTCTCTATCTCTCTCTCTTCCACCCGGTAAAAAAATCAATAAAATATATTTAAAAATAAAAAATTAAAAAAATAAAGATAACCAAACCACTCTATCAATACAGTTGCTGTTTTGGATTCTTGCACAAAGCCCACTTCTCGGAAGTCTTTCATTGACAGCCCATTACTGAAAGCTTTCTGAGTGGAAGTGCATGGATATTCGTGCAAAGTAAAAAGAAATGGGAAAATGTTAAGCAAATTACCTTCACCAGTGAGATTTCCCTCCCACTCTTTCCAGCATTATTTGCTTAATCCATTGACATTTCAGACTAGGGGAAGATTATGCATAATTGTAGCAGCCATTTCTTTCTCTCTCTGAGGGTACAAGTGACAGAGGTTGTTCGTCTGAGAAACAGGATGTTTGCATTATTGATTAGGTCACACTCTTTGGGCTGAAATAGCAGTGAATATTCTTGGCTGATTTGCATGTGTCAAGTTGGCCTGCTTCTTGTCCATCAATTCTGGGGAGATTCTGTTGCCGCTGCGCGGGCTAGACATCACGTCTCGGGATGTTCTTTCAGACTGTCAGTCACCTCACCTGCTGCTGCTGATTACAAACCTTATCTCAACCAGCAAACTGTCTGCCGCTTGTTTTTGTGCCTGTGACCACGGATAGTTGTTCGGTGCTTTGGGCAATGCTTATCATAGGTTCCCACTGCTGGAAGTTTCAGCTGTCTGTGAGGAGTGGAGGCTCACATAGCTGAACAAATGGCTTTACCATTTCCAATTTAGTTGTGCCACAGGGCAGCCAAAGATGAAAACAAACCACATTGCCCCCTAACTACATTTCTGGCTTACTGAACAATGCTGTAGCAGTCATGCTTCTCAAGCTTCGGCATATAAAATGCAAATTTCTCAGCTGAACTGACAGAGATTTTGATCCATTGGTCCCAGAAGGGGCCCTGGATATCTGTATTTTAAACAAATAGCCTGGCAATTCTGATTTAGATGAAACATGGAATATAATGCAAGAAACATAGCGACATACATTAAAGAGTCTCATGGATCTTAAAAAATAAGTTCTGTTTTAGTCTTGTGACAAGTCAAAGATAATACTGAGGGAAAAATCTCAATACTTTTCTCATTTATAGCAACCAGATTGTTAGCAACTTAAAGATATGATTTATGTCTAATTTTTCTTTGGTAATGAACTTTGGTTGATACACTTGGTAGATGGGCACTAAATAATTCAATCTACTAATGATCTTAATTAATGTAAAATACTTATTATCATTTATTGAACATTTTTATTAATATAAATCATAATAGAGAACCCAAAACAAGACCTCCCCCCAAATATTTGGGAATGTAGTAGCATTTCAAATTAAGTAAAAACAAAAGTCTTCAATATTCTCTACATGGTGTTATAACAACTGGCTTGCCATTTAAATTTCAAAAGAAGCTGGATTTCTACGTCACTCCTCACCTCCAAATAAATTATACATGAATTAAAGATCTAAAATGAAAAAAAATATAAAGCTGGATACATGCTAGAATAAAGTACAGATACTTCTTTTTTAGTATCTTGGCATTGCATAAAACCAAGTCTGAAAGTTAAAGATAGACGTATTTGACTATATGAAAACTATTCTATGGCAAAAATGTCATAAAAGAGTAAACAATCAAGCTCAAAATTAAAGATAAAATTAACAACAAGAAAAAGATCTTTGAACAGAAAAATGAACCATAAATGGCCTATAATTTATGAAATAAACTTTAACCCTGCTCAGAATTATGCAAATGAAAAATAAGATACTATTTTTTATCTATTTTAACATATTCCATGCATCAGCTTTGAGGAAGGATGGAGAAGAGCACTTGAGCAGTCTCTATACAATTTTAAAATACATTCTTTGACCCAGCAATTCCATTTCTAAAGATGTATTCTTGAAGTATAATTGTGCATGCAATCAGAACAAGAATAAGTCTAGTATTTTTTTGTAATAGTAAAAAAATGGAAATACTGCTAATAATCACTGATAGAGGCTGGATAAAAATTAATAATCCATAATACTTTGTACTATTTAAAAAGTCTGGTTTATTAGATTTGAATATTTGATATGGAAAAGCCACCAAGATTCATTGTTAGAGTTTAAAAAAAAAAAAAGAAAAAAGACAGAACACTAATGTGTAAATTGTTTCTATTTGTAAACAGCAAAACCTCAAGAAGTGTGTGCACACACATAAGAACATTTCTGGCAACATTAAGAAATTGTTAAAAATGGGTACTTTGGGAATGGGAATAAAGATTTTGGGGCAGGAGGAAGACTTGTTTTCCATGGTATATACTCCTATATTGCTTGAAAATTTTAAATAATGTAATATATCATTGAAATTACTGAATAAAAAGCTACTTGGAAAAGCAAGGATTTTATATATTTTAGCTGTTCTTCTGGTTAAGCATACTGTTTATGGTAATCATACTTCACTATGAAAAAGATCAAATTATACTTAATAAAACAAGTCAAGTAAGCATTTGTAACATTTTCAAGGTGTTTTTTTTAAGTGGCAGAGTACATTTCTTTTTAATTTTATTTATTTTTATTATGATGATGATAAAAACATATAACTTACAATTTTCCATTTTCCCCACTATAGTTAATATTCAATATTATTCTGTATTAGTTTCAGGTGCACAATATAGTGGTTAGACAATCATATTCTTTACAGAGTGGTCCCCTAATATTTTAAGTACCCCCCTCCCCCGGCTCCCTGGCCCATACATAGCTATTATAGTTTTATTTTTCCCCTCCAATGTCCTTTCTCCTGCCACTCCCACCCCTCAGCAAATGCCCTCACCCCCTAGTGTCTGTGTCCATTGGTAATGCTTATATGCATGCATACAAGTCCTTTGGTTGATCTCTATGCCCCCCACCTCCACCCCTGCCTTCCCTTTGAGGTTTGACAGTCAGTCCGATGCTTCTCTGTCTCTGGATCTATTTTTGTGCATCAGTTTATGTTGTTCACTGTATTCCACAAATGAGTGAGATCATGTGATATTTATTTTTCTCCAATTGGCTTATTTCGCTTAGCATAATGCTCTCCAGTCCCATCCATGCTGTTGCAAATGGTAAGAGTTCTTTTTTTTTTTTTTTTTTTTTAATAGTGGCATAGTATTCCATTGTGTAGATGTATCACAATATTTTAATCCACTCATCTGCTGATGGGCACTTAGGCTGTTTCCAAATTTTAGCTATTGTAAATCGTGCTGCTATGAACATAGGGGTGCTTATGTCCTTTCTGATTTCTTGGGATATATTCCTAGAAGTGGAATACTGGGTCAGTTTTTTTGAGGAAAGTCCATACTGTTTTCACAGTGGCTGCACCAGTCTGCATTCCCACATGCAGGGCACTAGGGTTCCTTTTTCTCCACATCCTCGTCAGCACTTGTTATTTGTTGGTTTATTGATTATAGCATTTTGACAGGTGTGAGATGGTACCTCATTGGGCTCTCTTGTTTTGCTGATGGTTTCTTTTGCTGTGCAGAAGCTTTTTATTTTATTATTAATTTTTAAACTTTATGTCCCTTTATTGGAGCAAGATTTCTGACTAGTATATAGTGATGTATTCACTAAACAGAGACCTGTGCAGAAATTACATACTACCAGTTTGGTTAGGTTTTATTACACTTTGCCTATTGATGGAATAGTTCCACTTATAAAGTTTTATTACATCAAATAGCTTTGAATTTGATCAGGCTGTCCATTAATTCATCTCTGAAAAAATTAACTGGCATTTAATTTCAGCTACTGTATTTTACAGCACAAAAAAGCTTAGGGATTAGGTAGCTTCTCAAAATGTTGCTCTAAGCACAATGGCATCTACCAGACAGAGCAGAGTCCGTCATATCGCTTAGATTCACACCAACAGGTCTCATTTGAGAACGATAAGCTGAATAGCTGGTACTTAAGAGACAAAAGTACTCCTAACCTAAGTTTCTTAACCACCAATACGGACTTCTTACTCTGCAAGCCTGTCTTCGGGGCCACCTTTACAGTGCCAGGGAAGACATGCCAGCAATAGCCCGGCGTATAACTCGGCTTTAGAGCACCAGGTCTGTCTGCTGGCGGTGGCAGGCCCTGTCATTATATCTGTTATATAGGCCCATTTTTAAAATGCAATTTGATATACAAAATTAAAGGTACAACATTCTCAGAACTAAGTTTGAGCAATCTGATATTCCAAATGATTTGAAAACTTTTAGAAACTGAGAGAAAATTGTACTCATGATGTTTCCCAGCCATGGAGACATTATTGCACTGGAGTCTTTAGGGTTTTCTAAGTACAATATAATGTCATCTGCAAATAATGACAGTTTTACTTCTTCTTTTCCAATTTGGATGCCCTTTATTTCTTCTTCTTATATATTTTTATAAGAATATCTCTGATATTCTTTTTTTTTAAAAAAAATATATATATATCATTGATTTTTTACAGAGAGGAAGAGAGAGGGATAGAGAGTTAGAAACATTGATGAGAGAGTATCACTGATCAGTTGCCTCTTGCACACCCCCTACTGGGGATGTTGCCCGCAACCAAGGTACATGCCCTTGACCAGAATCGAACCAGGGACCTTTTAGTCCGCAGGCTGACGTTCTATCCACTGAGCCAAACCAGTTTCGGCTATCTCTGATATTCTTATAAAAATATATAAAAGCGCTGCAAACATTAAAAATGCTCTAAAGTATTCAAATGAATTCCCTGATATTCTTATAAAAATTCTTAAATTCATAAAAAATATATGAAATAAAAATAAAGCCCATTATTAACTAAATCATAAATAATATGAAAATGGTTAAGAGCACACAAGACACAACATTTCTTCTTAATCATCCAAAGAAAAAAGGATTGAAAGAAGGACAAATGGAGGAGAGAGAATAGAATAAAGGAGAGTGAAGTGCCTTAATGGGAGGAGGGAAGTGAGAAGGCTAACCTCTATTTTGTAAAACTACTGTTTGAAATTCTCTGCTATTTAGATAGTCCCTTATTCTGTAAGGTCAACTCTGATATTTTTAGGCAGCCCCTTATTCTGAAAAAATAACTTTGCTTTCTAGCCTGCTTGAATAATAAGAAAAATTAACTTAGCTGTCTGATCTTATAGGCCAGAGACTAGATACTCCTGTGCTCTCATGCCATGCCAGATATATTTTTTTAATTGAATAGAAGTGCGTTGTCTTCAGGGTCTCAAGCTTTCAGCAAGATAACCACTAAGCAAACATAAGGCTGGCTCTTTAATAAAAAAGAAACTCCTGCTTGTTGCTTTGCCCAGAATTTGAAAGACATTTTCTCTAGGACTGGGCTCCAATCTCTCTAAGCGTTGCTTGGTTTTCTCTGGTCTTCTGCAATAGAAGGAGAAGAAATTTTTTTCATGACTTGAAAGGTGTCCTTCCTCTGAAACTATGAAGGTTCAGATTTCCAAAATAAGTCGGCTACTTTGAAAATATGCTGCCAATCCTTTGAGATTTATTAAATCCTCATCCGAGGATATTTTGTTAGAGAGAGAGAGAGAGAGAGAGAGAGAGAGAGAGAGAGAGAGAGAGAGAGAGAGAGAGAGATGAGAGAGAGAGATGAGAAAGAAAAATGGTAGGTTGCCTCCCATAAGCGCCCAAACCCGGATCCAACCTGAATCCAACCTGCAATCTTTTTGGTGTTGGGGCCATGCTCCAAGCAATCCACCCACCCAGCTGAGGCATTTGAGGTTTAAATGACAGAAATTCATGAATAACGGTGACACCAATAGTTACCAGGAAAAGGTGAATGGATAGTGTAGACACTGGGAGGAACCATCGGAAGGAGATGATGGAAATTTGAAAAAGGTTTAAGAACAGAAACAAATCAATTTATCACAGGTTTTAAATTCCAAAACAACTTTCTTTAGCCAATTTCTTTGTATTAATCAAGAGTTGATTTTCTATTACAAGAATCTTCCAAGCTCTCCCTCGGGACAGTTGCTGATAACATGAATCTAAACCAGTCCCTACAGGAATGGCTGTGAGCCCAGTAGATGGAGACAGGAACATTTTTAAGATCCTAATCTCGGTGGGGATAAACGCAGCACAGCCGAAGCCTGAGGAGCTGGGTAGGTAAGGTGACCAGATTTTAACACTGGTAAAGCGGAACATCACTGATGGGGGTGGGGTGGGGGTGGGGTGTCTTTGATTAAAAATTTGCTCTATATGGAGCAACAAAAATTTTCATAGAATGCAAAAATAGTATTGTAATATTTTTTTTAAATTTCAACATCAGTACAATTTATAAATATAATAAATAAATAAATAATTATGTGTAGTCGTGTCATTTTCAAGGCTGGGGCTAGACTTTTTGCCGCCACTATAAAATATAAATAATATGAGTACTGTCTGCTAAATTCAAGAACATTTATGTATTTATGAAATAAATAAATTACTTACCTAAATTATCTGAATGGCTGATTTGTAATGACATTACTTGTTTAACTAGCTTACTAGCACACAGTACGATGTGTATCATCTGAGAGACAGTTACAAAATGTTTTCATCGTTGCGAATCCCAAAAATGCCATTGTTCATTAAATCCAAACAATGGTGGTCGAATTCTGACAACTGATCAACAATGCGAACTTTGATAAGCAGTTCTCGATAATCAGTTCTCAACAATTATTTGTTATTGTTAAAGTTTAACATTATAAAATTAACAAAAATAATATAAAACTCATATCCTGGCTAAATAGCCACATGGCCGCCAAAAACCATATATTCCTTCCCCGTTCTCCCGCTGTTCCCTAGCTTGTCGTGCATTCTTTCCAAAAATCGGGACTTTTTAAAAATGCCGTGGGATGCAGGACAAATTGTGAAAAATCGGGACTGTCCCGCCCAAAGCGGGACGTCTGGCCACCTTAATTTAGAGAGACCCTGTACTGGGAATCTTGGAGTTAAATGCCCCACAGCTGACAAACCACAGTAAGCTTATCTTCTGCTTAGGAAGCAGCTGAGCTTTTATTTTTTTTTTTTATTTTTTTTTTTTGGTGTGTGTGTGTGTTTAATTTTTTTATTATTAAATTATTATCTGTGTACATATCTTACCAACTGAGCTTTACAAACGTGAAGTAAGGTTGGGGGGACAAGGCACAAATGTTGAGCCACCACCAGCCCCTCTCAGAACTGCCTCAGACCTTCTCCCTGCATCCTTATTAAACTCGGATGTACCTTTGATTTTTGAAAAGTCTACACAAGCATGTGCTTTATTTTTCCGTTTTCTACCGGAACAGTTGGTGCACGGCCTGGCCATGCTCTGTACCTGTGATCTGAAATTTACAGCTCTTCTCCCGCTTCAAGTAAACATCAGGTACTTAGGTAATTAAATGTCAGACCCGGAAAGGTCTTGTTTATAGGAGAGTGTCAGCTTTCAGGATGTTGTGCGTACGTCTAGGTAAAATTACGTAGAAAATGCCTGCGTGCTCTCGTTTCATAGGCCGGCCTTGAGGCCATCGCCGCCTGAAAGTGGCTCAAAACTAAAAAATGACCTGAGGGTTGAAACAAGATAAGATCCCACTGATGTCACGGTAATTACACGGAGTACCATTCAGCCACTCGGTAGATTTTGCTGCTGATCCCTGGGCTTTAGATGCAGGTGGGGATATGCAGTTTTTATTTTTCTGCAGGTATAAAAGCAGGTGAGGACTTTGTTGAACTGCAGTTACTGAGAAGCCACAAAACGAAGCTAAAATTCTTCAGACCCACAATCAACTGTACCCCGAATACATCCTGCAAAACGTCCGGAGGAAGGTAAAGTAAAATGGGGGGGAAAATTGGGGGATTTTAATTGCGTGAGGAGTTAAATATTTGAGACTATAGGGGAGCGGCGTTTACACATTCTCTTTCCAGCACTGATGACTGAATTAGGCTGTGGTCTATGATCACAGCCTAAGATGCTATCTCACAGAAGCCAGAAACCAAATGTCTCCTGCTGAGATGTGTGAGTGCCTGTCAGTATCTAAAAAATTTCCTCAAGAAATGCTGGAGTCATTTGAAAGGCATTCTTTTGAGTGGCTTCCAAGGGGTCAGGCAGAGGGCGAGTAGACATTACGTAAGTTACTGATATTGTCTTATCAGTTTTTAAATGATCCATAACTGAGAAAGCTGCCTACTGAGAGAGCAGCTCATCTGTTCAGCTAAAATGACATAGCTCCTGATACGTTTTGAATAGATGTTCTTGTCTAGATTTGAATAGTAATACTGAAATCTCTTGAACATCGTTTCAATTTTTTTCCTCCCATAAAATGCTACAAAAATAAGAGTCAGTAGTATTTCTCAACTATTACTGATGACCTTGCCATTCTAAATCACTTGCCCAAGTCTGATTGGTTTGTCCTTTACTTTCTGGGGAAATTTGAAGACTACTGAATACATGAAGGTCCTGCACAAATGTCAAAACAATAAAATACATGTTCTTTATTCTCATTAGTTTTTCATCTCTTCATTTTTATGTACCCAGACTACCAAAGCTGTCAATGTCTGCAGGTGCATTTATTACAGCATTCATCACTTCAACTTATAGTTATTTGCTTCTGGGTCAGATAGCAGGAAACATTCATATTTGTATTACTTATATTTTGGCACAATGCCTGACATGTAGCAGGTAGTTATTCAAAGTTTCTAAATCTTCCAAGTGTTCAATGTAAATCTTAAATTTGGCACTTAACAACATTGAACGTTTGCCAAATTACCTCAAACTCATCTTTTTATTTATTTATTTAAAAAATATTTTACTGATATATATATTTTTTTTTTACAGAGAGGAAGGGAGAGGGATATAGAGTTAGAAACATGGATGAAAGAGAAACATCGATCAGCTGCCTCCGGCACACCTCCTACTGGGGATGTGCCAAAACCAAGGTACATGCCCTTGACCAGAATTGAACCTGGGACCCTTGAGTCTGAAGGCCAACGATCTATCCACTGAGCAAAATCAGTTAGGGCCAAACCCATCTTTTTATCAGAAAGAACACACTAATTCTCCATATCAAAGAATGGATGAGGGGACTTGAGATGGATCTTGGGAGTGTTAACGAGGGTCTCCTAATCCATTTTCCCAATCTCTCAGATATTCCCTGTCTACCTTGGAGAAAACTATCAGTGAGGGTGATAATGGGTCTCAAGGTCACTCTAGTGCCTGGGAACAATGTTTGAATGTCTACTTGGTAAAACTAGGAACCTGGAGGAGGATTATTTAAGTTGAGGACTGGAGCATGGGATCATGGAGACACTCCTTGCTAGACTGATAGTTCAAAACATGCCACAGAACAAAGTAAAAACCCACTTACTGCAACTAGAGGGCATGAGTAAAGAAAACTAGTAGACATGGCCACTCCAAGCTGAATTTCCTGACTACTGACCCCAAACCCTTTAAATTCGTGCACCCAGAGACAGGGGTGATCACTTGGTGGGAAGCAGAGGTGAGTGAGCCTGCTCAGGGCTCTGCTCTGTGGGCGGTGGTGGAATGGAGGATCCCAAACGTTCTGCTCTCCCTCGTGACATTCCACCTTCAAACCTTTCCTCAAGCTGAAAACTATTGCTGTCTTCTCTGGACCAGGAAAGATGCTAAAACTTACAGGCCTATTTTCTGTTTAACAATTATTGAATACCTATCTCATGCCAGACTGTATGCTGGGGATTAAAGGCTGAACTTTCAAGGTTCCCTTTCATTAATCGCTGTTCTCTGAAGGGGCCTACTTTCCCCCCCGCCTTGGTCGCTAGCTGGGTTAGATGAGGTAATGAGGTGAACTATTCGGTTAACCCTCTAGAAGTCAGTTAGATTTAATCTGTTTTGTTAAAGAATTATGCCTGTTATCTTAGCAGTCATAAAAAAAAAAAAAAAAAGTGCTGTGAGTAAGCTGGGCTACCTGGTATGGAGAGTAGAGATGAGTCACCCCATCTATCACACCATCAGGAAAACGGGAAACCTCACCGTCTGGCAGTGGGGAGCAATGGCAGCATCTTTGTAAGTGAAGGGCAGGATGTCACATTGCACCAAAATACTTACAGTCTTCTTAGAACAATCTTTTACAATATATGCATATGTATGTACATACACACATGCCCACCTATTTTTTTTAATCTAATATAAAAACACACACGTTAAATTTGCCTTGAGGTCTTTCAATAATGGGATAGGCCAAGACTACAGATTTCTTAATCCCGGCACTTTTTAAGAATTTGTGTGTGTGATAAAAACAGAGCAGAGGAGCTTCAGAGAGAAGCTCCCTCACTGTTCATTGTCCCATGAGGTTTTACTGCTATGGTAGGTTGTACTTTCCAAAGATGGCCACAAAAATATCTCTCAGCCTACGTTCCTTCTGCAAAGATAGACACTCCCACTTCAAAAAGTGGTGTGTCTGTCTTTGTACCCCATATGTGTATATATATGTGTGTATGTGGTGTGTATACATATACATGGGCAGCTTCTTAAAAGACTCTGAGGTAGATGGGCTGAGAGAGAAGAAAGGCAGTACAGGACAAGTTGAGAAAACACAGTTTCTTGGATTCAGATAATTCTGATGTGGCAGGTGGCAGGAGCTAAGGGCATGTTCAGTGGACGTTAGAAATGGACTGTGGGGTTAAATGTAGAGTCTGTGGTGTCTACCCAGAATACTAAGAGGCTGTGGTTAGCACATCTTGATTTAGAGCGTGCATATTTTTCAAAATAACATAAATCTCAGCTGAGTATTATTTTTTCTGCCCTGGTTTATAATGTTTTTCTTTCAGATTTCAAAACAAAAAGACATAAAGGTGATTAGCATAATAAAAACATTTATTAAAATGTTTTCAGAAACACCTAGAATTTAAGGGTTAGTCATTTTCTGCTTGGTTAATCTTATTATTATTTTTTAAAATTAAGACAAAGCTGTTTCTGTTGTTCAGCAATGCAGACTTGGGTTCTGTTCTTTTCAATCTTCTCTTTCTTTTATCATAAAGCAAATTCTAAAATGTGGATTGACTTTATGCTCTCACATTCAGCAATCTTGTTATAAATGCTTTTTCCTGAATTAATTTGACATATATTCACTGCATAATGCTGAATTTTCATAATATATGAGCTGCAATATCAAAGCACAAAAGTGGTGCTAGTTTAAAAAGGAAACCACTTTTAATTCTGAAATTTTCTTTGTGGCTTTGTACATTACTTAAGCAGTGGCTCTCAAACTTTTTGGTCTCAAGACCAAAAATTATTGAAGAGCCCAAATATCTTTTAAAAATCAAGTTATATTCATCAATATTTACTGATTTAGAAATTATGTCAGTAAAAGTTTCAAAATACTTATTCTTTTAAGAACAAGAACATCAAACCCACCATATGTTAACGCAAATAACATAGCTACACTAATAAAAAAGAAACATACAAATTAATAATCACTCTGCTATACACACAAGCCATGCCCACCAACCAATCAGGAGTATGCAAACTAACTTAACTAAGATGGCAGCCAACCATGGAGTGGGAGCAAGCAGGAGGCCTGGGTTGCCTTGGCAATGGAGGAGGCCAAGCAACCCCTGGCTGGCCCTGGCCTCCACTCAAGGCTACAAAGTTTCAATTATAGAAGACAAATAAATCCTAGATACTTGCTTCCAGCTAGCCCTGGCCTCCTCTCAAGGAGGTGCTGGGGAAAAAAATAAAAGAAAAAGAAAAAAAGAATGCCTGGGACCTTGGGTGGCTGGGGGGTGATCAGGCCAGGATGTGACAGCAGGGGCCATTGGGGGTAAGCAGACCAGCAGGGGGGCCAGTTGGAGGGAGCAGGCTGTCAGTGGGGGTCAGTTGGAGGTGATCAGAACAGTGGGGGCCAGTTTGGAGTGAGCAGGCCAGCAGGGGTGGCAGTTGGGGGTGAGCAGGCTGCAGGGGGGGCATTTGGGGGCAAGCAGGCCAGCAGCAGGGTCAGTTGGGGGCAAGCAGGCCAGGATGCAGAGTGGTTAGGTGTAACAGGCAGGCAGGTAAGCAGGTGAGCAGCTGGAGCCAGCAGTCTCAGATTGCAAGAGGGATGTCTGACTGCCGGTTTAGGCCCGATCCCTGTAAACCGGCAGTAGGACATCCTTCGAGGGGTTCCAGATTGGAGAGGGTACAGGCAGGCTAAGAACAACTACCCCTCCCCCCTTGTGTATGAGTTTCGTGCACTGGGCCTCTAGTATTTATAATAAAAATGACACTTTCCAAAAACAAAAAAACAACAACAGAAAACAATGAGAAGAGTGGCATTGTTTTAGCTTTCTTGCAAAAATTTAAAAAGATTGACCTAATAGAACATAGCTACATTTGTATGTGTTTCTTTGTTTAGTCTGTTGCAATATCATATGTCATGTAAGCTCTAGAAAATTTCTTTGAACACTCATGAGAGTATCAGAGGCAAATAGCTTCTTAGTATTATTATGAAAATCATTTTAACTTCTCAGATCCTCTGAAAGTGTTTAGGGCCCCCAAATCACACTTTGAGAACCACTGACTTAGGATATTTACCTAGTTCATTATGGCTGAAGATAAAGCTAATAGTTACTTGTGTATAAGTACATACATCAGATAGAAATGACATGCATATGTTTTAGCCTTAACTATACTCATACAGCCTGTTTTTCTGTATTATAAACTGTTAGTTTTACTGTTTGACAGATCATTCTTATGAGATATAAATGTCTAGCAAAACCATGGTCGTATATGTGAGTCTACATGAAAAATAACTATAAGTTTTGATTCACATGCAACTTTAAATTTCATTCTGAAATGTCTTTTTTTTTTAACTTTTTGTTTTGAATAAGTATAGATTTAGAAGAAGTTTAAAAAAAAATGTACAGGGAAGTCCTGGCTACCCTTTAGCCAGTTCCCTCAATGATAATATCATGCTTAATTACATAGTACAATGAGAAAACCAGGAAATTGACATTGGTACAACCCAGGAAGGTTATTCACTAGCATTGTGTGTGTGCGCACGCGCGCGTGTGTGTGTGTGTGTGTGTGTGTGTGTGTGTGTGTGTGTAGTTCTATGAAATTTTACCCATGTACAGATTAGTGTGACAACTACCACTTCCAGATACAGAGTTGTTTCATCACCACAAGGATCCCTTGTGCTATACCCCTCATCTCCCTCCCGAACAAACTACACACAAGGACAGTGAGGCTTCTTTACAGGATATTTAAAAAGGAAAATTTATTGTTGCTGTCATTAAGCCCAATTCTACTGGCTGATGTGAGTAATGAGAAGATGCAAATTCCCACCTCTTTCCAAAAGACAAATTGTTGTTTTATCCATGGCTTCAGAGTATATTGGGGGCTGTACACAGAGGGATCAAGGCACTGGTGACTGTTCTTAGTTGCACTGTTAAAACTACTGATTGTTGTTATGACTGGTAAGCCAATTTTAGAGTTAACTTTCCCCCCATCCTGTTTTGCAGAAGAGCCATGGATTACTACAGAAAGCACGCCGCTGTCATTCTGGCCACATTGTCTGTGTTTCTGCACATTCTCCACTCCTTTCCTGACGGAGAGTTTACAATGCAGGGTGGGTGACCCCACTTGTGTGCGCAGCAATAAGAAAACCAGATGTGCATCAATAACTCCACTAATTACATAGCGACCTCCTTTTCAAATGTGGTGAATCCTGGCTGCCGGATCCATATCTAGGAACTTGCAGATTGTGAACATAAATTATGTTTCGATGAAAATGATATCTTACATATCTATTTAAATAGCAGCCTGTATATTCTCATCTGAAATACATTCCTTTATCTCAGTTTATAAGCAGCAAATGTTTCTTATTCAATGTAGCTCAGTTTTGGTGGGCTTTTTTTTTTTTTTTTTTTTTTTTTTTTACATTTCTCCTGGAAGATTTGAGAAGAAAGATGAAGTTTCACAGCAGTTAATGAGTGAGAAAGGCAAAATCCTATTTATGCAGTAAATTTGTTTTTGCGGTATTGTTTGAAACATTTTATAGAGGAGCTGATATAATTCCATCTGCTGTGAAGTTGTGAGCTAGCCTTGGTCCGAGTTTTTCTCTAGACAAGTGGTAATATTTTAATCCCAGATCCCGCATGCAGCTGTCCCCTCTAATACCAGGCTCTCTGCTCTCCCCAAGCTTGCTCTCTGACATCATTTTCTCTATCAATATTTGGAGTTTCTTTGGGAAAGAACAATAGTAGATTTTAAAGGGGAAAATAGTTTGCCTTTGGGCAAAAGTCTCCTTTCAGATGAGCATGATGTTTTCATCTATCAAACTGCGTTTCCTTAGAGCCATACTATTAGTCCTGGGCTGGGGAAGTCATGCTGGGAGAGAGACTGCTGCTATTGAGATTTTCCATGAATATCTGTCAAAATTGTTTCTCCACAGAAATAACTCCAATTCATATAATTAGGTAGTATGTGTGAAGATTACATATACAGTATTCAAAAAGTATTTATTTATTCTAGTCCCTATGGAAAAAAGTCTATCTACCAGCCCACAATAAGGAAAAATGTATAGTTTCTTTTTGAATTGTGTATGGATTATTTTATTCTTTGCCTTTTCTTTTTTCCTTTTTTGGCAATAGTTTGCCCAGAATGCAAGCTAAAGGAGAACAGATACTTCTCTAAGCTGGGTGCCCCAGTTTACCAATGCATGGGCTGCTGCTTCTCCAGAGCGTACCCCACCCCGGCAAGGTCCAAGAAGACGATGTTGGTCCCTAAGAACATCACCTCAGAAGCCACATGCTGTGTGGCCAAAGCATTTACCAAGGTGAGAACCTAAAGGCTTCCTAACAGTCTAACCGAAGAAATGTCCCCAGTGTATAGTCATGGGGTTTAATGTCAGAGGCATCTAATGACACATCCTTGTTGGGTATTAACGCTGGGAGGGGTTGCATTTGTCCTTTTTATTCAAAGAGTCAGCAACCTTGTGGGTACAGGCTGGTTTTATTTAGAATGAAGAGAGTAGGGGCAGAGGTAGTGAGGAGAGAGTATGGGAGAGAGTATGATGCTTACACAGTGCACATTGCGTGCACTCTCCTTTCAGAGTCAAAATATCAGAATGGGAGGAAATGCAAATCTAACAACATCTATTTAGCTCAGCTGGCTACAGATATTTTTATTTAACAATTTTTAATTTTGCCTATTGTCTATCATCTACCTACCTACCTACCTACCTACCTATCTATCTAATTATCTGTTTTTGTTTTGTTCCCCTTTAGGTCACAATAATGAGAAATGTCAAAGTGGAGAACCACACGGAGTGCCACTGCAGTACTTGTTATTATCACAAATCTTAAATGTTTTGCAAAGTGTCATGTTGATGACTGCTGATTTCCTGGAATGGAAAATTAATTTGTTCAGTGTCTCTGGCCTTGTGAGATAACACTCTCCTTTTCCTCACCACACCGCCTTGGACATGCTTCAAGGAGATACTGCAGCTTTATTGCTTTTCACTCTCCTATAGGATAATCAGTAGTTAGTTCTTTTCATTTGGAATGAAATATAGTATTTAGCATGACTATGAAAAGCTGGCTCTGCTAGAAATAAAGTCTTTTAAATCATCATTCTATCATTGAATTCTAATTTTTTTTCTTCAAAGCTTAAAGCCTGTTGATTTTGATAGAATTCATTGAAGGAAGTGAGCCCAGGGGTGTGCTGGAGCCACATTCACTGAGTGACCTGACCCTGGAGAACCTTGTTCCCACCGAGCCTTCCAATAGCAAGGAACCTGTCAGCCAGGGGGCAAGTTACAAGTCATTGGGATGAGGGAAGAAAACATAAATTGCATTTTTTATTCATTTTTATAGTATCCCTTGATGGTTGACGAATTTTATAAAAGTATATACATTAGTATGTAATTATACATATTTGGGGATGTACCAACTCTTCCTGGTAGAAGTTTTCCATCAGGAACAAAACACCACCACAAAACACTGCCCCATAGTTTGGAAGAGACAAAATCCTTCCCAGCCTGAAGTTTCTATCCACTTGCCTTAAGTCTAGCAAAAAAGAAAAGGTGCATCTTATTCGTCCCTCGCAGCCAGGTTGTAGCCGAATGGGGTGGCTCAGGAGAAGATACCACTATCCTTAACTAACAATGGGCATTGCTCTGAAATTCCAGCGGCATCAGCTTTTACCTGCCACGGTTAGATCTGAGTGGGAGTGAGTAAACGTTCACTGTGGGCTAGAGGGAGAACCAAGTACTTTCACTCAGTCTATGCAAATGCTTAAAATACGACATGCTTCAAAGGCACCTTTGTTGGGAAGTTATACATAAAGACAGAGATTGTTCTTCTTATAAATCATGCTAGTCAGAGATAAAGTTTTCAGAAAAAGTTTCCAGTCATCACCAATTTGTCAATATTCCATTTCTGAGTGAAAAGCCCCTTCTTAAAAGTTTGGTAAATACACCACGTGTCAGGGTAAAAAATTAAAATGAGAGCATGTATTTTATAAGAAGCACTGAATTCCATGTGATCATATCACTTCACTTATTTATTATCATGTATTTAATGTTTAGCAAGTGCCGGCAGATTGTTAGATCATGGGGATTCAGAGATATCAGGGTTCTCTGGAAGACAAGATTGAGAAAAAATGAAGCTTAATTAGAAAGAATAATGGTGCTGATCATTCAAATATTTAACAGGTATTCAATGAGAGTCTTCTATGGGTCAGGTCTTGAGAGCTTGTTTGGATGAGTCAGCAGGAGAAGAAATCTGCCAATACACCCTTGACTGGAGTGCCCTATGGGATCATCCCATTGGACAGAGGGGATGGAAGAAGTAATGAGAGAGGAAGAGGATATCCTCATGGTCAACCAGATCAGCCAAATCAATCCTGGTGAGCATGAGGGTGAATGTGTTGGCCATATTTGCCTCCCATCTGGCCACGTGCCAGGCATCGTGCTGGTCCTGGGAAGGCCAACGTGAGTAAGATACAGACCTGCCCTCAAGCAATTCACAGTCCAGTGGGGAAGAGAGACATAAACAAGGAGTTAGAATCTGGTGAGATATCCGCTATTGGGAAGGTGTGGAATTTGATGGCATAAAGGAAGGAATGGCTAACCCTGGTTCTTCACAGAGAATTCATAGGGCAGGTGGTTCTTGAGTTAGGTCTATCACATGTGTCAAACACAAGGCCCGCGGGCCAAATCTGTCCCGCCAGGCCTTGCAATGTGGCCCGCACCATGCTGTCATCACTGCACTCCACTGCGTTTCCATCACAATGACAGTTTATGACTGTTCAGTAAACCATTCGGCCCGCGATTTAGGCTGGATTTTAGATTTTGGCCCCTTCTCTGATTGAGTTCGACACCCCTACTCTAAGGAGTGGGTGAGCCTGTCTAACAGGCAGCGTGTTCAGTGATACGGAGCTCAGGAAAGGACTCCAGTCTGGAGGTATAGGCATGAGGAGCCAGTGGAATCAAAACCACAGGAGTGGCTGGGATTGCTCAGGAGTGTGCGAGGACGTGAGGAAGAGAAGATGCTGGACCACCAAGGATGGATTCTGGACCAGTCTGGCTGAGAAAATAGGTGGCCATGTCTTTTGGGATAATTAGAAAGCTCTGACAGAGGCCTCTCTAGAGAAAAAGATTATAACCTCAGAGACATAAGCTGTGAAGAGAGGCAGATACGGAGGCTGGGAATTTTGCTTCAAGTCTATCTGTGAAAAATTATAAGGATAATAGAAGTAGAGCCAGCACATGTTTGAGGGATGCTTCTTCCAGAAAATGTTCTAAAATTCACCTCAGCCAGAGGGCTGCATGAAATTCTCCTGTTTGAGATTCCTTCCTTATAGCTAAAACACAGTATTTCAGTCACCTTCCTATAAAATAGCAACACATCTGACTGAGGCAACACACTTGACCATTAATACCACAAGGTAAGTTAATACTAGTCTGTACTAGTCTGTTTGCACTGGGGGTCCTGGATCCTGAGAGAGAGAGAGAGAGAGAGAGAGAGAGAGAGAGAGAGAGAGAGAGAGAGAGACAGACACTGGCAGAATTGTAAAAGGATAGACCAGAAGCAAGACTTCTGCTATTTTGTAATTGTGTCAAGAATTGACTATGAGGAGAAACTCCTAAGTGATCACAAGGGTGTCACTGATGACGAGGGCTCAAGCAGGAGGTCAATAAAACAAACAGGGCCGGCTCCTGTGCCTCAGCCTGTCTCCTGGGAGTGAGAGGAAAGGGCAGGAAAATATGAGCGTGAGATAGAGGACAGGGAAGAGAAAGAAGAATGAGGAGGGTATAAAAATTTCCTTAGCAGAAGGAAAATGAGCGAGAGAGAAGATGGAGAGGCTGGAAGGGCTGCTGGAGGAGTCTGTAACTTCAGAGGAGGCAGACCTGGCCGGAAGCAGAGAGAGAAAGCCTTGACTCTCCTTGCTTCCACCTCCCCCACCCACTACTGTCAGAGTCTGAGTAGTCACCCAGCCAGGACCTCTAGCCCAGATGAAGCTGTTGTGCAAACGGAAAAGGATGCCCTCTCTGGGCAATGCACCTGGAGTAAACGCTTCGTGATTAAACGGCACAGAAAAGTGGTTATCAATCAGTCCTTCACCCTTGGCACCTTTGTGTAATGTGCAAACTGTGCCATCTTACATGACAGCCCTGCCCATGATCTCTTCATCCTAAAAGGACCAATTTGGAGAGATCACATTTTAAATTGGTAAGAATCTTAGTTGACATTGAAGATCCCAAATACTGATATCTTCATTATTCATATACTGCTGGGAGGAGAAAATATTCCCCACCAATAGCTCTGTGTTGCTTTTGCCATCTATAGGGGAACTAGATGAGCTGCCCATAATCTGATCCCAATAGGAAAATAAAACCAAAGAACCCACGTGTAAATATCCATGAAGCTCACATGCAGAAGTTGGTTAGGACCACAAACCTCAAGAAATTCAGAGAGGTCCGCTGAATTGGCAAAACAAAACAAAACAAAACAAAACAAATTAATCGACATCAAACCACCAGATATGAGCACAGCACTTTTACTTTCTCAGAGCTTTCTGTGCCTAATGTGTCATGAGTCTCAATCAGCCCCTTGTAGACCACAAGTCAGGGCAGGTGGCACCATCTCCACTGGACACTTTAATAAATGGAGAAATAAAAAGCATTGGCTGTACAGGGACTGAGACCATGTGGAAGCCTGGGTCTCCGCTATCTCCACTTTTGTGCTGCTTCCTTGAAATTCCAATTTCTTCTCAAGGCAAATAACTTAGTTCTTCCTGGATACTGAATCGGAGGGCTCTCTTGGGGATTTGCCCAGGGTGAGAAGCCATCATATTAAAGTAAATGAAGCCTGAATTGTGAATTAATTGTCCACTGATGTTTTTGGTCTGGCAGCTCAGACTTTCAGCTTCACCTTCACAGCACAAAGAGATTTCACAAAGAAAACACAATGAGATTTCTCTGTTCTGAAAACCAAGTAGGATTTTCATATTCTTCTATTTAAAACTGGATAGCATATGGAATTGTAAATATGAAATACTGTTTTCATAAAGAGCGGAAGCTGGGTCTGAGTTTCTTTGGAGCAAAGAGAGAAGTTAATCATTGCATTGAACTTCAAAACAGGAGACATAAAAAGAAACTAACTGTTGGATTTTTTTTTTTAAATGAATTCTGCTTCTGAACCCCAGAAGACCACATGCTCTGAAAAGCTTTCCTATTGAACCTGCCTGTCTGAAGGACTTGAAAGCTCAGGTTTTGGGAAGAGATTGAGGAAAATGGGGGTCAGGGTAGAGTCTCTGAAGAAGAAGCCAAAAGCTTGGCACATAATTAAAAATGTGCAAGAATATGTCTCACAAAGGCAGTCTGCAGTTTTAAAGCCATTTTCACTAATATTTTCAGAAAGTGGGATAGGAGAGTGGAAAGCCCAAAAAACTGTTATCGATTTCCTCCAAATGCTCTTGATCAGAAAGTGTGTTTGAATTATAGTCTCTCTATTGTAAATTGTCTTTGAACAGTAATTGATTCTTGACTAAGTTGACAGCAAGTAGAATTTCAGCATGTGTAAATTCCCTTCCACACACCCCCTTTCTCAATTACAACTCATGTTGGGCAACAGTAGGAAAAGCCAGTATTAGGGTTAGGCTGGGAAGTGGAGGGGAACTGGGAGGGCAGAGCAGAAGTAGTGGTTTGGCCAAGACAACTTCAGAGAGACAAAGGAAGAGGAAGAAAGAAAACCTGGCTTTGACCTAGAAATGCACTGCAGCTTTGAGAAGTGAAGGAAGTGGGATGGGCGTTGTTAACAGATACACAGTTGGGCTGAAGTTATGGTGGAAAGAACTTAAATCTTAACCTTGAGCTCTGACTGGTTTGGCTCAGTAGCGTTGGCCTGCGGACTCAAGGGTCCTGGGTTCGACTCTGGTCAGGGGCATGTGCCTTGGTTGTGGGGAGTGTGCAGGAGGCAGCTGGTTGATGTTTCTCTCTCATCAATGTTTCTGACTCTCTATCCCTTTCCCCTTCCTCTCTGTAAAAAAAAAAAAAAAAAAAAAAAAAAAAAAAAAAAAAAAAAATCAATAAAATATTTTTTAAAAAAGTCAACGTTGGGAGAGAATT